TTACTAGGTCGTATGATAATTCTGTGTTTATGATTTTGAAGGACTCCCAAACTGATTTCAAAAGCAGTTGTACCACTTTCTATTCCCACCAGCAACATATAAGACTCAAATTTTGCTTGCATCCTCCCCCAAATTTGTTAACTTCCTTTTTGGTTATAGCTAGCCTATCTCACGATGGTTTTGATTTACATTTCTTTAGTGAGTCATGATGTTAAGCATCTTTTCTTGTGCTTATTAGCCATCTGAATTATCTTCTTTGGAAAAATATCTGTTCAGATCCTTTCTAAGTTTTAAAAATTAATCTTTTTATTGGAAGAGGTTATAGATATACATACAACTATAAAAAATAATATGGAGAGATTCTGTGTATCTTTTACTCAGTTTTCCCCATAGTAACATCTTGCAAAACTATAGTATAGTATCATAGTCAGGATATTGACGTTGAGGTCAAGATATGGAATAAGCCATCACTGGGATCTCTCATGTTGTCCTTTTATTGCCACTCCCTCTTCCCTCAAGCCTCCACACTCCCTCCCCACCTCCTTACCCTTGAAAACTATCAATCTGTTCTTCACTTCTACAATTAAGTCATTTTAAGAGTATGATAGAAATGAAATGATACAGTATATATCCTTTGGGATTTTTTTTCCATTCAGCATAATCCGCTGGAAATGTACCCAGGTCATTGCATGATCAATAGTTTGTTATTTTATTGCTAAGGAATATTCCATAATATGGATATTCTAGTTTGCTTAACCATTCACCTGTTGAAGGATATTTGGCTTTTTTCCAGTTTTGAATTCTTACAAATAAAGCTGCTATAAACATATGTGTAAAGGTTTTGGTTTGAAAACATGTCTTCATTTCTCTGGGATAAATGCCCAGGCTTGCAATTGCTGGTTTGTATGGTAGTTGTATGTTTAGGTTTTGAAGAAGCTGCCAAATTGATATCTAGAGTAGCTATACCATTTTATATTCCCTCCAGCAATGTATGAGTGTTTCAGTTCCTCTGAGTGGGGGAAAGGAGACCTGGTCCTCTGCGTTAAGCTTGCCTGCTACAGAACTTTTGCAACAAGAGGCTATGGAAGGGGAGTGAGGAATGCTGGCAGCCTGCCCCTCTTGGGGTTCAACCGTGATCCCAGTTTGGGAGTTCCGAGGAGGAGCCCTGTCTTTTTTTTTTTTTTTGGTTTACATCATTATTTTTACTTTTGGAAGTATAGGATCACCCCCTTCCAGAGCTGTTACCATAGTGCTCCCACCACCAAAACACCCACAGTCCTTCACTTAGTCCATTGTGCTCCCTCCCCACTTTGCGCTTGCCCCACGTTTCCCCTTCCCCTCTCAATATCTCAGTTTTGTCATTTACATTCAAGGTTAGTTTTTGACTTTGGCTTTATCTGACCTTTGTCTAGTTTCTCTATATTCCACGTGTGACACCGTATGGATCTATTTTGTTTATTTAGCATCATCCCTTCAGTTCCATCCAAGTTGCCACAAATGGCATGAGTTTATCTTTTTGATTGTTGAGTAGTATTCTACCCCCAAATCACAAATACACTAATTAGAAGGGAAATTCGCACCCCCGCGTTTGCTGCAGCATTATTTACAATAGCCAAACCATGGAAACAACGTAAGTGCCCAAAAACAGATAAGTGGATTAAGAATGTGTTTTTGGCTGCACGTGAATGGAGTATAATGCCTGTGGTAGAATGAAAAAAAATAAAGTTGGGAGGGGGTAAAGGAGCTCGGCCATAATTCAACTGCCATAGTCTCTCCCTGTTCTTACTGAGATTGAGGTTTTCTTGAATGTTTCTTCATTTGAAGTATGCCCTTAATGCTTTTTAAAAATTAATTTGACCAAATTATTGTTTCCTAGGGAGAAGGTCTGCTGAGCAACTTGCTTTGGCATTCTGGAAGTGCCAACCCCTCAAACTTGATTACTAGCATGAACAAAAATCTGAAAGAAGGAATATTCCCCCAACCTGACAAAACATTCTAAGTTCCTCGACCATGGATCTCTTAGGTCTTCCCATAGTGGATGAGACTGGAAATGCTGTCACCTCCCTGTAGTCTCAGTGCCCCAGGAGGCAAACTAAGGTACAGTACACAGATAGCCAGTGGCTGGCCTGCCTTGACTAGAAAAATGGAAGTTTTTTGTTTTGTTTTGTTTTTTGTTTTTTTGCCTAAGGGGAACTGAATGTGTGAGATAATGTAAAATGATTCATGCTGGAAGACTGAAGCTAGTACTCTAATTTTACACCCCCAATACTATCAATTACAGAAGCATATTGTCTTGATGCATTCAACTTAGGGACTTACTAAGTTGGCAACAGTAGAGCAGTCAGTAGACCAAGCTGAAGAAGTAAGGCAAGGATAGGCTGCCCCTACCTCACTTTTATGCTGATACAATAACAAGAATCACAGAATGGTGATACAGGCATACCTCAGAGATGGCCACTTCAATTCCAGACCACCACATAAAGTTAGTCACATGAATTTTGGTTTCCCAGTACATACAAAAGTCATGTTCACACTGTGCTGGAATCTACTACACATGCAACAGCATTGTTTTAAAAGAAAAGCGTATGTACCTTAATTAAATGTGACAAGAGAAACATGAAGTGAGCATATGCTGTTGAAAAAAATGTCCCCGATACCCAATACCAAAAAAAAAAAAATGCTTGACACAGGGTTGCGACAGATCTTCCTTCAATTTGTGAAAAAAACAAAACAATAAAACCACCATAGTATCTGTGAAGCGCAATAAAGGGAGGGATGCCTGTAGTAGGAAGTCTTCCTGTCATTCCTGCCCCTCTGCCAGCCAGTCTTCTCCCCCCAGCAGTTATCCATGAAATTAGTTTGGGGTATTCTATAAAAGCAACTATAAATATGTATCTTACTTTTCTCAGATGGCCTGGGTTTGAATCCCAGTTTTGTCCCTTACTATGTGGCCATGGATAAGTAACTTTACTTCATGAGCCTCAGATTCTTCACCTCAAAAATTGGAGTAACAGTACCTACTTCACAAAGTTAGGGTGAACATTAAGATTGTGTTAATGATGCTTTCTAAATAAAAAGATGCTGTACTCAAACCAGCTGTTGTTCCAATGGGAGCAGCAACTACGCACCAACAGCGATGTGGAGACAGTGTACTCAGTAGGCGCTCTGGGATCACTGGTTGGTGGTGCTGAGGAAGTGTCTGGAGCTGACTGTGGGAAAGGACATGATTAACAGGGACACTCCAATGTGGTTTAAGTAGGCATGACGTAGAGCCTGACTGGTTTGCAAGATAAAAATTTTGGAACATCAGAGACCATCCTGGAGATGATTTGATCTGCCAGATATCACCCATGTAGCAAAGGCAGCCAGTAGGGTCAAGGCTAATTGTGACAAATTAGATGGACTTTCTCCCAGAAAAAGGTCTACTTTTGGCTAATGACAAAATAGACCTGGGTAAGTTGAGGTCTCCTAAAGACTATCCAAAAAAGCCTGTTTCAAAGATGACTCAGAATTATTTAAATTATGACAGGGCAAATCCTGGACATCTGATACAGGTGTAGGTCAGGAATTAGAAAATTAGGGCCCCAAAACTGAGTTAAGCACCCATCTGTTTCCAGCTTTTTCGTTTTTTGCCAGAGCAAGTGCAACCTGAAGGGCATGACAAGAACTCTAAAAAGTGTCTAGGTTTTCCACTACCTGGGTCACCACTTTGGAAACATCCTCAGGGAGCCTGTCCTGGACACTCATTGTCCTTCAAATCAACTTCAAAGGATCATAGAGGTGGTGGGGCAAGAGAGGTGCCAATAGTTTCTGAGTAGGGTATGATGGGCAAATCTCTGCCCAGAAGCAGTGTGTCCAGTAGGAACACAGGCCGGGAAGTAGTTGGAGAGGAAATGAGTTCAGAGGCTGGAATTCCCAATGCTTATCTTCTCTTTTTGGAACACCTGTACATGTAATGAGATTATATAATTCCTGCCATGCTAAGATCTCTCTCAGGCCACAGATTCTGCAGCTTCAGCCAGCCTTTCACCTGCCTGAGGCAGGAAGACCTGGCTGATTGGTAGTGTGGTTAATGGTTAGAGGAGCAATAAGTCAGCCCAGACTTGGAGACTGCGCCACCATAGTCTCAGAGCCAAAGCTCTCCTAGAAGTCTGCCCCTCTCCTCTCAGAGACTGATTAAGGAATTAAAAAAGGAACAGGTTTTGAAAGAGACTGCATTTGTGGAGGACTGAAGGGTGAAAAGGAGTATCGTTGGAGAAGGGAAAAAAGGACTCTCTTTTTGTTATTGCTATTTGCCTTTTAATAATTGTTTGCTTTTGTAAAAAAAAGCTGTCTCTGCAATTTTCCCTCCCAACTTCTATTATTAAAAAGTTCATTTCTTCAGCAATCAAAAATGAAAAAATTCAAACTCACGGAAAGTTGAAAGACATATATGATGATATGACACCAAAATAACAGTTCATAAAAATCAACTGGACTTCCATCAGTGAAAGACACTGTTAAGAAAAAGAAAAGAGAAGCCACAGATTGGGAGAAACTATTTTGAAAACATATTGGGAGAAACTATTTTGAAGGACTTGTATCCAGAATGTATTATGAACTCTCAAAACTCAATAATAAGAAAACAAATAACCTAGTTATTTACGCAAAAATTTGAACAGATACTTCACTGAAGAAGATATACAAATGGCAAATAAGCATAAGATGCTTAACATCACAAGTCATTAGGAAAATGCAAATTAAAACCACAAGATTCCACTAGATGTACAGTAAATGGTTAGAAAAACTGATTGTAGGGCCTCCCTGCTGGCACAGGCGATCAAGTACCACACTGTGAAGCTGTCTGTAGCCTCTGCAGCACGGGTTTGATCCCCACTGACAAGGAGAAACCCACATGGCGCAGCAGACCTCTCTTGTCTCGCCCACTGCTCCCCTCAGCAGTGTATTTCGTCAGTCTGCCTGTTCTGTTCCCCACTCTGTCTCTGGTGAATCCTCCCACCCTCCCACGTATCTGGCCTGTACCCTGGTTCTTGTATAAATAAATAAATCTTTAAAATAAAAAAAAAGAACTGTTTAAAAACTGATTGTAGTATCAAGTGCTGTTCAAAATGTGGATAGCTGGAAATGTCATACTTTACTGAAGGGAATGGAAAATGGTAAACTTTGGAAATGTTTGGCAGTCTTTTATAGAATTAAACATCCCACTCCTTGATATATACCCAAGATAAGTGGAAATGTGTGTTCACACAAAAATCCACATACAAATGTTTATAATGGCTTTATTCATAATTGCCCGATACTGAAAATAACCCAACTGTCTTTCAGCTGATCAATGGACAAAAATGTGGTACATCCACGCAATGGAATACTACACAGCAATAAAAAGGATCAAATCACTGTTACATACAAAAATATGAAATAATCTCAAATGCATTAACCACTCCCACCTAAGACGATACATTTATTATGTTTCCTTCTATACAGCATGTCTTTGTCAGAACAGACTTCCTGGCATCATGCATTTGAGAGATTCTGAGGACAGTCCACCTCAGAGAAAAACTGTGAATTCTTAATTCATCTCAAAAAATGGCGTGCCAGTGATAGGGACAACCAGTCATTTTTAGAAAGAAATGGCCTAGCAAGAAAGGCACTCCACCTTTTGAGATCAGTGCCAACAGTACATGAGGGATGAGGCTTCACAGGAAGACTTCAGTGAGAATAGGAAGTGCTGGTATATGTAAATTCCCTCAAGAAGAAAGCACAGTGATCTAAGTGAAGTCAGTAAGATATTTGTGAAAACATGATACGTTGAATGAGCCAAAATAAAATATCTCTTCCCTTAACAGTAATTTTTATTAGTATTTTTATTCATGTTTGTGTTTAACTGATCCTACCACCACGTTAAACAAGTGCACAGAGTTTCACATACACAATGTTTTCTTTTCTTTCTCAATCCCAGTCCTTGATGGGTTTTGTTTATATAGCACATGTTCAATAAACTTGGGAATATTCCCCCGGTATTATTATTCCCTACAATAGATGGAAAACTCCCTAATGGACAAATGTATTTTCAGGCTACATCAAGGGCTCCTACAAATCAATAAGAAAAAGACAAAAAGACTCAAAAGAAGAACAGGCAAAAGATATGGCCCATTTCACAGGAGAGAAAATAAAAATAGCAAAGGCTTGAAAAGTGCTCACCCTCATTAGTATTAGGAAAATGCCAGGCAAAATGTGATACTATTTTTGACTCATCACATTAGCAAAGCAAGTGTGATATTATCAAGATACTTTCTTTTCTTTTTTAGATTTATTTATTTATGCATACAAGAACTGGGGTGTAAGCCAGAGGTGCTGGGGGCAGGGGTGTGTGTGTGAGAGGATTCACCAGAGAGTGTGGGGAGCAGAACAGACAGATGTACTGAAATACACTGCTGAGGGGAGCAGCGGGTGAGACAGGGGAGGTCTGCCGCACCATGTGGGTTGTTCCCTGGCCAGCCCGGGATTGAACTCATGCTGCAGTGGCCGGCGATTGCTTGATTGCACAGTCTTTAACCCCTGCACGCCAGGGAGGCCAAGACATTTTCATATAGATACTTGTATACACAGTTAGTGAAAGTATAAGTTGACTGGGCTATTTTTGAGGGCCATTCACCAACATCTATATGCTTCCTGAGTTTGAAGGATTCTGAGTTCTGTGAGGGAGCCATTTCATACCAGTTCACAAGACCTGATGGTACACATTGCCTCCCAACTCCAAGTTTAGTAATGTCACATGTATTTTAAAGATATATTTACATGTGTAAAAACAGACATATGTGCAAGGATATTCACTGCAGCATTATTTCTAATGGGAAAAAGTTGGAAACAACCTAAAAATCCTTTGATAGGGTTTTTTTTTAATTAAAAAAACCCAAACTATTTTGACTATGAAATACTATGCAGCAGTTGGAGTCAATAGGGTAAATTTGTATGAACTGTTTGGAGGAAAAACTTTCTTCTACCAACATAGATCTGAGTGGAGGGAGGGAGTTGTATATGAACTGACAAAAGAGTAACAGGATAAAAATTTATCATGCATGCAGGCCCTGCTGATAGTGCTCTGAAGAGTAGCTCCCAGAACAGGGTAAGATTTATATAATTGTGTAATAAGGCAGGGAAGGATGTAAGATTCTAATGAGGTTTGTTTATACAATTTTTAAATATCTTAATGCTCAAGGTCAGTGTCCCCCTAACTGGAGACCCAAAGAGAGCTGAAGGCTAGAAGTGGGAGGATCCTGGCAGCTAATTCTACCAAAGCTCTGTTCTAACTAGGTAAGGGAAGCTTGGATTAGATTTCTTTCAGCATCTTCTGTAACTCAGATGTTTCCACTTTCAAGTATTCTCTGCGCTCGTTTGGGGGGTTTTTGGTCTCGGCAGTTGGAAAAATCTCAAGACTTACTGTTAAGGAAAAAAGCCACGTAGGACAATACATATAGTATGATTGCAACACATTACAGAAATACATAAAACAGTACTGTAAATAAGGGCATTTCTGCCACTAGGCAAAAATTTTACACACACACACGCACACACACATTCTCTCTCTCTCTAAAAGAAGAGACAAAGTGACCACAGAGGTTACTGTTGGAGAAGAGGAAACCAAGATTGACAATATTGGTAACAGGGTTCTTTAGTCTTAATTATAAAGTTTAAAAGATTTTTCAAAGACAAAATATCCATGCGATTATTTGTGTAACGCTAAAACCAAAACAAAACAACACCTTAAAGACAGAACTATCCATAAACTTCCACCCAAAAAGCCACTCTCAGGATTTTCAGTTCCTGGTATGGGAGGTACCTGTTACTCCTGGAAAACAATTCCTCCTTCTCCAGGGATCAGGGCCTCTTCCCAGGACACTCTGGAAGCTCTGTGGGACATTAGGCCTGATTAAGACTCTTACAGGCTCCTGAAAAGACGGTTCTCTCTTCTCTACATTTATAATTCAAAATGAAACGCTGTGAAAGAAAAGAAATTCTACAAAGTTCTCATTTTTCCTATGACTATGGTTGATTTTTGATAAATTTTTAAATCTCTCGAAGAAACTTTGGCTTATTTGGAAGCACATACTTAATTCTAACTAACTTGGTAATTTAGCATCTGGCAATAAAAGGGTGAGAAATGGAACACATCATCAGACAATTCTCAGTCCTCGGAAGATCAGGATAAGATAAAAGAATGGAAGGAAAGGATAAAAGTTTAACCACTATTTGTCTCCTCAAACAAACCATTTGAACCATTAATTGGCTAAACTTCCAGGTACAAAACTAGGTGTGGCGTTTGATCTACAAAGAATGGCCCAGCTGTGGTTACACAGCAACCACTTCTCTCCTAGGGCTCATGAAAGGCAACAGGGACTTGCAGGGTCTTGCCCCTCCAGCAATGGTTCCTGGGCTCCTGGCCTATAAGGGCTGCAAGTTGACTCTCCCAGGGTCAGGTCCCCAGTGAGGAGATTTCTCCAGCTCTTCAGGGACCAGCAGAATCAAATTCCCTTAGCTTTTTATTCAGCTGTTCCTTATGTGTACAGGGAGAGGGAAAAGGATTGTTTGTTAAAGGTTTGCATTGTCCTTCCCATTTATTAAAATTACATGCATAGCATTAAAGAGAAGGATTAGCTTCTTCAACCTATCTTAAAAAAGGGGGTTGGGTGGGCCTGGCAACTCTCTACTTAGATACCCCTGGATTATTAATTTTCCCAATACTGTGGAAAGTTTTTTTTTCTCTAAATTCACTATAGACTGTATTTGAAGTGGAGATACACTATCCAGTAAATGGATACAGCCATGGTTTAAATACAGTAATTTATGAAGTGATTTGCTTTCTTCTAACTCAGAGGGGTTTGGGGGAAAAGGCAACTTCTAGGTCTATGATGTCCAAAGCCTCTGCGCTCAGAAAATCTGAAACCTCACTCTGGCCAATCCAGGTCATCCTGGAGCTTAGGAAGAACAAAATGTCACATGGCCTATCTCCTTTCTTGTCCATTCTTTGGCTGATGTTGGTTGCCAATATATATAAACCCTTTGGACTAAGTTCAGTTTTGTAGAGAGTGATAACTCCCTTTAAAATCCTCTACAACTGAACACTACTTTGAGGGAAAGATCAGCGAGGGATTTTATTTTTAAGAATCCTTATTCCTTCTTACAAATTGTTTAGGGGACATCAGTATGAATCTCATGAGCTAACAAGACAAAGATTCCTTCAACGGTACTTTCTCTTCTCTTCCCAAAATCTAGGCCCTGGGAATTCTCTTCAAGAGGCAGGTAAATAACCCTCGAAAAAACAGGCCTCAGAATCCTTCCCAATCAGGGCAGACAGGGCCCTTGGCTCTTCAAGGGATGTTACAGAATCTGCTTCTGGTCTCAACTCCCCAAGGAGGAAGTGAGCCTTGGGGTTTGTTCAGTTGCCCAGGCCCATGTCTGTTAGCAGTCATAGGTTCTCTTTCTCCAGCTATGTTTAGCTTTGTTTGATTATCTTCCATGGGAACACAAATGCATTAGTCTTCTTTGTCTTAGCTCTCCCTTTATAACTCATCACCAAGAACCAGAGCACCAGATGATGAGTTGTTATATTCTGGGTTGTAAACATCCACCATGAGAAAAGAAAGGTCCTTTCCATGAAGAGTTGTGTCCCACCCATTTTCCTGGAAATATGTTCCCTTTCCACATCCAGATCCAAAGACATTGTTTTTACCTTCATTTATTTGGCTTTTCAACTCCATCTAAATATTTCTCTATCTTTAAATTTGCCTGATTTTAAAAGCTCTGGCTTTAAAACCTTTCCTGACGACTCTAGCCTCCTCCTGCCCTTTCTCACTGCTGAAACTCTTATAGAAATTGTACTTGCACCATTCCATTTAGTACTTAATTGGTAACTGCTTTGTATTGCTTGTAAAATGCTTTATGGCTACTGGTTTCAGCTTCCTGAGGAAAGAGTTCCTAAGAGTAATAAAAATGATAATAATAGCAGCAGCAAACATGTGTACGTGCTAACTCAGCAGATATAACTCCTTGTGCTATCTGCACTAATATGCTTACTAAGGTAGTACTACTGTATTATCACCCTGGGCTTTTTTTTTAAACAAATGAAGAAACTTAGTCACTAAGGCGGTACTATTAATAAAAGAGCCAGGATCTGAACCAGGCCAAAGGGCCCTTGGGTCTCTAAAAGACATTTTTAAGATAATCTCCTAAATCTTGTTTACTCCTTAGTACTTAACCCTGAGAATTACATCTACCACGCTCATTTTCCAATGAGAAAACTAAACATGCCTGAGGTCAAACAATCAGGATCCTGTACAGAGCTGTGATTCAGATTTGGATCTCAGTCAAATGCTTTCTTTTCCCCCACTAAATGGAAATTATGGATTTGATTAATATACAGCTCAGGGACCTCCCTGGTTGCACAAGGGGTTAAGACGCAACCTATGAAGCTAGCCACAGCCACTGCAACATGAGTTCAATCCGCAGCCAGGGAGCTACCTACATGGGGCAGCAGACCTCTCCTGACTCACCCACTGCTCCCCTCAGCAGTGTATTTCAGTCAATCTGCCTCTTTTATTGCCCACTCTGTCTCTGGTGAAGCCTCTCATCCCCCACAACTCTGGCCTGTACCCAATTCTTGTATGTATAAATAAATCTTAAAAAAAAAACATATATATATACAGCTCAGACATCTTACCACTGATACTCATTCATCTATTGTACTCATGTAGGGACTTTTGCAGGTGGGGAGGGGAGGAATGATAGAAAAATGTGAGATAAGATACGCACCCTTAAGTAGTTCTCACCCCTGGGAGAGGAGACATGCAGACAAGGAGGTGTACTGAAATGTTGCAGGTGCTGTGAGGGAAGTTGGGAAAGTTCAGCAGGCACAAAGAGATGAGGAATCTGGGGCTGTCATGTAGAAAAATGAACCCCATGTCAAAAAGAGAAGTGAACCCAGCCTTTTTTGTAAAGTTCTTTAAGGTAAGGTTTTGTGATAAATCTTTTTGTGAAATTTTTGACCAAAAAATTCAACAAAGAACATCCTGAATATTCTCCTTCATTAGGCTCCTGCTATAAATAATCTCTCCAAACCCATTATAAATTGTTGCTAATTTCTAGGTTGCCATTGGTTTAATGAAACCTTGGGGAGAAGGGCAGAGGTGGTACAGACTGCTTTCTGGGAATTCAAAAACCTCTTGACACTGAAAGAAAAATTCAAAAACCCCTTGATACTGAAAGAAAAATTCAGTGAATATGGCAGCTTTTTTTTTTTTTAAATGGGGAAGAGAATTCAGTTTTCATGGAAGACATAAATGTCATCCAAAAGGTAAGAACCACTAAAATGAAGTTGAAAGCATATCTGCACATACACATATATATATAACTACACAACTAACTACATAAATGTGTATGTGTATGTGCATATATATTACAAACATACAGGGGCCTGGATGTGTAATCATTCCTGTATCTATATATGTATGTATATATATACACACATACCTCCCTTTTTCTCTGTGCATAGACAGTGTCTGGAAGGAAACACACCAACATTAACAGCAACCATTTCTGGAGAATTTTTTTTTTAAGCAGGAGGCAAGGCACTTACTTTTTGCTTTATACAATTCTATACTGACATAAAAGTTAAAGACCTATTAATAAATTTTTCATTAGCATGCATGACTTTTATAATGAAAACTTTTTTAAAAATCTGATTTTGGTTCTACTGCACCATGGACAGACCATGTTGAAAAAAACATAATAGTAAGGAAGAAGCCACTACAGCATTTACTACAGACATTGTTACAACAAATTAACAGCCCAAATATTATGCAGTATTTCATAAGCTTCGGTTTGACTGTCCAGCTAGGATAAGGACAATGCATTGGCTACTGGGGTACTGTGACCGCCAGGAAGCTACAGGCAGCAGCAGACTCACTGTGTACACTGTGCTCAGAGGTGGATGGCACTGGGTGGGCAGTTGAGGCCAAGACCATCACAAACAGCACCTCGCTCTACAAAGGGCATGAGCATTCTCAGCATAAAGACAGGTCTGACAAGGATGCAGGTGTCAACTGACAATGAACCTCACAAACCCTAAGATCACATCTACATACAAAAAACACTACTGTAGGGACTGTCATCATCTGAACACAGTGAGCAAGGCTCTCTGACCTATCTGTACAGATGTTTCCCCAATTTTGACAAGAAAATAAAATAACTACTACCAAAAGCCTCCAAATCAGGCATTCTGAAATCAGTGCCAAATCTTAGCCCCAGTTCTAAAAATAGCCAGAATACAAATCATATAAAATCTCCAAACTTATTTCTTAAATATAAAGTTTACCAGTATTAAAGATTTTAACTATTTTTTCAGCTTAAATTTCTTCTAAAGAGTTTAATCTCTTATTCCATTTGTGCATTCAAATCTATATTTCCTCCTTTCCATTTCTCCCCTGCCTATATCCTCTGAGTCAACAAAACCTGAAACCTTAACTCCAGCTGGTAACAGAAAGCTAGTCAAGACCAGGTGAAAAAGAAACAACAGGTCTAAATTATAATCCTTGGTGAGAAAATGATGTAAATACCCATATTTTACTATTTGCTCATGTACGGGGTTAATATCTTATTCTGATAACATGTGTAGTGAACTTGTAACTTACGTCAGTTGGTACCATTCATCAGACAGGAAGCAGGCTCAGGCAGATTCCTTGTGACAAAGGCTAGCTCACTGTTGCATATAATTGTGATGTTATGAAAGACAATTATGGCCATCCCCAGAAAAGGAAAGATGGATCACATCTAGTGACAAAAAAGTTATGTCTCAAATTTTGAGGTTAAAAAATGTGTACTTTGCAACTAGAGTTAAGTTCAAACTAATTATGTCCTATTAGGGGTTTCTCTTCTCCGGGCTAAATCACCATCAAAAATATTTGAAAATTGTGGCTGGAAAGTTGGACAGCTAAGAATTATAAGGTGGCTATTATCCTACAAAGGCTCATGCATCCCTTCCAGAATCCTATTATTTTAGGAAAATATGCAGTCACTTCTGAGCTGACTCAAGAAGGCTTTCTTCTATTTCTTTTTCCCTTCACTAGTCTAATCTGTGCTTCAAAAAACAGTATTTTTTAACATTTGTTAAACATTTTTCTTTAATTTCTACTTTATAAATTTTCATTAGGTCTAAAAGAAGAATTTTAATAACTTGACATGTTAGCTATTTTAGAGTTCAGATACTCAATGTCATCCTTTGATTTTCACCGCCTTCTTGCATTTGGGGGAGAATAAGTTAACTGAATTTTAAAATGCTGTAATCTTTTTTGAATCACCATTAAAATAAAACTGGGGGAAAGAGAAGTTATATAAGAGGCTATAAGATAGAAGGTAAGCCTTCACTGATAAAACCGATTAAGAACCAGAGCTTCTAAGAGAAGCAACTCCTGAGAATAATTCTAAATCCTTTGCTCCTTATCAACATGAAACTACTGAAATCTGGAGTTTATTTCTGACTTTATTCTGAAAGCAACTTTTGGTTTGACGAGGCTATATCTGAACACCTGAAGTTAGAGTGCTTACTGCTCAAGCAGGGACAATTTTTACAAGGTCTGATTCAGGCTGAGGATATTTTTATTTTGTCACACATTTCCTGAACTCAAAATAAAGTGGTTCCCCCAATTCTAACCCTCAACACCACCCCTTATAACCTGTCCCTTGACCCTTCTCCCTTTCTCTTCCCTCTTATCCCCAGAAGCCTCAGGTTAGTTATCAATGTCTTAGTTTATAAATATTTTGCTTTATCAACTCATCTACTGTTTCCTTATATTACTCCTTGTAAGGCAGGAATGGACACAGTGCAGGTATTCTGATTCAGCAGACCAGGCAAAGGAGGAGTCCTGGAGCCCTCAGTGGCTTTTGCAGGTTTTTATTGGGGTTTACCCAGTACACAACAGGCAAGGGTGCTGGGGGGCCGGGAGGCTGGCAGGCTTCCGAGCCCCCAGCAAATCCTCACTCTAAATGGGCTCTCCGGTGATCTCTGCTGCTTCTTTGCTTCTCTCTCGGCTTCTCTTTCGGCTTCTCTTTCTCGGCTTCTACTGGCGTCCCCTTGATGCCGCCCTTAAAAGCCAGTCTCAGCCCAGGTGAATCCCATCTACCTATGCCCACACCCTACTCCAGGTGCCCGCCATGAGGCATGCACGCATTCAGGACCGCAAGGATCCCCCATCTATCCTGATGGTGGGAGGGCAGAAAAACCTGACATTTTTCCTTACCCTACACTCCTGTATGTGAAATTGTCCAATGTTTGTCTGTCTTTCTGGCTTACTTCACTTTGGATTATCTCCTACAGTTCATTCCATCTGTTATAAATGGTAGCATTTCATCCTTTCTTATAGCTTATTAGTATTCCATTGAATGTATATACCACATCTTTCCCTATCCTTTATCACGGGGTACTTAGGATGCTTCCTTATACAGCTATTATAAAAAGTGATGCAAAAATAAAGTGGTTTTAACCTAGTATAACTGAGATAAGAAATCTAGTGGGGTTTGTTAGGACCCTGATGCCACCTTTCTCTTTCCATGGTCCATTCTCCATGCTTGCAAAATCCCCTTGGAGAGGTCCTGGTTTTAGTAACTGTCCCTCGCAAAAATTTACAAAACAGGGCCTCCCTGGTGGCGCAAGGGGTTAAGACGCAACTTATGAAACTATCCACAGCCGCTGCAGCACGAGTTCGATCCCTGGCCAGGGAGCTACCCATATGGTGCAGCAGACCTCTCCTGATTCGCCCACTGCTCCCCTCAGCAGTGTATTTCAGTCCATCTGCCTGTTCTGTTCCCCACTCTGTCTCTGGTGAATCCTCTCCCCACCCCACACACACCTCTGGCCTGCACCCCAGCTCGTGTATGCATAAATAAATATTTACCAAAAATTACAAAACAAGTTAATTATAGAAAATATAAAAACAGATAATACCCAGTTAGGCAAGAAGGGGAGTGATTTATTCTTACTCTTTATAAAAGGGAGTATAGACTGATATAGCCTTTTTAGAAAGTAAACTAGTTGTTTATCAAAATCTTAGAAAACACATTCATGAATTTATTTAGAGAAAGTCAACTCTTTCCCCAGTTCTAGTCCTCTTTTTTTTTTTTTAATCTTCATGGTATGATAGGTTGATTGATCATTTAATTGTTCTCTTTAGGGTTTTCTATATTTTCACAATAGACTATTAACAAACATACTCCTACAATAAAAATACACTCCTCTGGTAACAAAAGAAAAACTCATTAAAAAAACCATCAGTAAATATGAAACACATGCAAACAAGTCCTGTCCAAAACCACTTGCATTCAAAGGTATTTAGTGTTAAATGTGGGAACTACCTCCAGTAACCAGTTTCTTTAGTAATTATAATTCTGAAAAACAGTTTACATTAATTTTTAAAAATATCTTCTCCCAACAACCTAAAGCTTGAGATATACTAAAAGAGTGTCCACTTTTGTCGCTATTACTACATTCACAGGCTGTCCGAAATAGAGCTTCAGTCCATAAGAATGATTTCCTCTCCCTGTTGGTCCATGTTCCTCCAGGCTTCCACAATCTTTCATTGACTATATGAATCAACACTAATGAGGTAGCTACAGTTCTTCCTTCCAGTGAAATATGGAGCCCCATTATCTAATGAAATATTCTTTTCTTCTATTTTACAGCAGGAGCTTAATTCTCCAGGATCATATGATGGTAGTCCTGGGAACAGAAAGTAAGTTTTAATAATTCTTTGCCAAACCACATGCTTTTTCTGAATCTATTTACCGATTCAAGATGTTTTCTAAAGGGTCCTCATTTAAAATGCTCTGGTCATTATTTGCTAACTGCTGGGATGGTTTAAATCAGGGAGAAAGCCAGTAATTTCAGCTTAGGTACTTGAAGAGCTCCTAAAATATCTCCATTTCAGAAGAATATGCTTAACAGAAAAGGACTTATTCCTGCCTGAAATAAACTCATTAGAATTGACATATCCTGTCACTGTAGACCAAGAGAACTACACTGTTTGAACACATTCATCTCAAAGGCAACTGACAAAACCTATTCAACAAGAAGCATAGCTTCAAAATAATGTTTGACAGTTTCTTCCTCATAAAAAATTTTTGGTATTGGGTATAATTTCTCAACTAGCACATAGTTTTTACATCAGTTCTCTTAAAGATGTTTTATTTGATATATAGGTTAAGTTTTCTGAAGTAAAAAATCTCTTATCACCTCAGTAGACACTCTTCCCTTCCTACTGTCATAACTTCAGTTAAGTAAAAAAGGCTCCCTTTGTGATGAGGCTGGATTAGTTCTAGATTTCAGAAAAGTCCCAAGTTTCTAAGTAGCTCAAAGAAGATCCCCCAGATTTAGGCAGAACTAATCTAAATGCCTGAATCAGTTCTAGAAGCATCTCAGGTTTTGCTAGAGTTGGCAAAATTCTAGATTAAGCAGACTCTTCTAGGCCTCAACTCAAGACATACTGCGTTTGTTCAGTCTTGAATTTATATGAATAAGATTTTTTTTTCCTTCTTTTCTGATTCTTGCATTATATTATTATGTATAAATACCAAAAATCCTACCCAGGAATAAATGACCATAACAAGGGTTTCTAACACTACTTAGTCCTACTGAATACAAGTGCTTGGGGATAGGGAACAGGAGCCTCCTTCTAGGAAAAAATGTTTTTATGAGTGCCTCTAAATGCTGAAGTGTAAGAACCTCTGTAATAAAACTGTAAGAGTAAATGAAAGGGAGAGAGAATGAAATCCCAGCAAGCAGAGGTAAGCAAGATTTGAATTTTAGGATTTAATATTAATGTGGATAATGAAGCTACAGTGCTTTTTTTTCTTTTTAAATCAGATCAGTGGGAAGGGATCATAACATCTTAGCTTCAGTAACTCCATCTTCAGCTAGGCTGGCTGCATCAGAGTGCTGATACTTTCTTCAACTTCTGAAAGTTTCTTCAGAACTTGGTTGACCTTGGCCTCATCAAATTCCAAATACAGAAATTCAGATTCCTGGAAAACAAAAAGGATGCTTTAGAAGAGACCCTCAAGACAGCCAAGCTCAGGATCTGGCACGACCCAACCCCAGCCAGGATCCTTACCCCACAAACATGGCTCTGGTTTCAATGCATAAATGATACTTTACCCAGCAAAGCAAATCCACAATAACACCTCAATGGAACTAATTCTATAAGGTGTTTCATAAGTGGTCAAAAGGTACATAAATGTCAACACCTGACATTTGTCAGGTGTTCCCCACTGAATGTGAGAAGCTCTCTCCTTGTCTATCATCACATTTGATACCATAATTTTTAAGGTAAGCACTTCAATGTTATTGTTGAATAAATGATGATATTAGGGTACAGACTTATAACAAAGTCAGAAAAAGCCTGAATCAGATTATGAACTCCCAACTCTGGCTGACTCCAAAGTCCATGTTGTAGCGACAGTACCTGTAGAATAACAATGGAGAAGGAATTGGATTGGCTCTGTGTTAGCTTGGGAATTTGGCTAACTTGGACTTAGTGGTTAATCAGAAAATGTGATAAGCTGTGACAAAGTTGCTTGGGTAACATCAATCAGATAATTAAAAGACAACCAAATCTTGAAACAGCCTTAAACATTTCTAGGACCTTTCCACTATAGGCCAACTCTCCCAAGACTCCCCCCAAACACATCACTTGTAGAATCAGCTGTAGATGAGATTTATATCAAAGAAAAAGATCTCTGAAGTGTGGTCCACAGTATCTCCAGAGATAATGGCAAAGTGTATATATCTGGGAGCAACTATCTTCAAGAACCTTAAGAATAATAGTCATGTGATCTTAGAATAGTAAGAATTCAGAGATCATATAATACAACTGCCTTGCTTTCCAGATAATGAAATTGAAGCTCCTAGCATGTTAAATGACATGCCTATTGTCCCTCTGTTTGCTGATGGCAGAGGCATTAGATGAATACTCATTTCTCTACATCTTCCTCTCTAAATACCCTGGCATTTCCACCTCATCCCCAAAGAGACAAGTAAAAGGAGTGTCAAGTAAAGGAAGACCAACATTCTTTTTCAGAAGAAAGGAGTTACTCTATCATCGTTTGTGAAGAATCTTCACTTTGAAAAAGGATCCTTGCTGTTACTAGGCTTCTGTACTAATGACACTGAACATCCCCCAGGAGAAGCAAGTGCAGAGGAAAAGAATGGGCTTCTCAAATGGAAGTCTTCCAAAGGAAAGGAAGGCAGCTTTCCTTGACTACAGGGAACCTTCTCATGTATTTGAATAGGAAAGGTATACTCTAATATGTGAACTGAGAAATTGCCAGTTTATTTAGTCAAGAGCAAAAACCAGTTTAAACAAAAGGAAAAAGCTCCTTGGGCCTACCTGGTCGCCTAGCAGGTAAGTCTCAGTACTACCACCACAATGGCCCACCGTGACAGCGACAGCCTGATTTTGATTCCCCAGTCAGGGAGCTGACCCACATGGGGCAGCAGACCTCTCCTGTTTCACCCACTCTCCCCTTAGCGGTGTATTTCAATATATTTGCCTGTTCTGCTCCCCACTCTATCTCTGGTGAATCCTCTCACTCCCCACATCTCTGGCCTACACACCAGTTCTACGCAAAAATAAACAAAATCTTTAAAAAAGAAAAAAGTTCCTTGTATTTGTGATGCAGGAGGAGTTATCTGCTTTTGCAGAGAAGATCTAATTTATGACAAACAGAACAGTTCAGTTGACTAAATTAAGAACAACTCCCAGATTGAATGTCTCTTATTCTTTATTCAGCTTTATTGAGCTCACTAGCCTGACTTTAAAACATTTTTTTAATATTGGCCTTTGAAACAATGGTCTAGAAATTAATAATTACGAGTCTAGCACATTTTCAAGAAATTTGCAGAAAAGACAATGCAACCCATGTTTTACTCTAGAGAGAAAATGTCAAGTACAATAATAAATCACCTGGTTTCCATTTACTGGAAAAGAGATTATCAAGAGCAATGTTCAGACAGATCAGAATACTCAAGTGGAGTTTATTAATAAATAGTTAGGATCTTTCATGATTAAAGATCATTAATTTTTTTTTAATTTTTAAATTTTTTTTATACAAGAGCCAGGGCACAGGCCACATGCGCGGGAGGGTGAGAGGATTCACCAGAGAGAGAGTGGGGAGCAGAACAGGCAGACTGACGAAATACCCTGCTGAGAAGAGCAGCAGATGAGACAGGAGAGGTCTGCTTTGCCATGTGGGATTCTTGCCTGCCGGCTGGGATCACACTGCAGACCCTGTGGACAGCTTCACAGTGTGGCGCTCAACCGCCTGCAAAGATCTTTAACCCTTTGCACTCAGAACCATTCTGGACATTGGCTACCAATGTCCCCTGAGAGGGGACAGCGGAGTGCAAAGGGTTAATCTTTTGTAAGTTTCAGTATACAAATTACCTTTACCTTTGCTTTAATTAATGAAACTAAGTTTATTTTTAAGGGGAATCAAATACTAGAGAGAAATGGCAGAGCAGGCTGGATGGGAGAGTCCAAAGGTAAACAGCTATATTTTCTAGATACTCAAAATCTGCACGTCTCTTCTTAAAACAATACACACTAACAGTGTTAGAAAAACCATATTAGCTATATATGACTCTTGAACAATTTACCTGAAATGGTCCCCATTATGCTATCAAAATATTTTATCAGGACTTCAACTTAACATACAGAGCTTTGTTCAAATTACACATTTGGCTTGGGTACACTACAGACAGCACATCTAATGTACCTTGAAAATATCTTTAGAAAAGCAGGTGACACTTATCAAGCTAGAAGCAAAGTTCAAGTTCAACCTGAAATACTCATTTTTCCACTCCCAAACCACTCATCCTGATATGGAGCTAACTGTTAACAATAATGAGATGACAAGACTAAATTCCTGTTTTTAAAGAAGATGACACTAATAAGTGAAAAGATATTCTATGTTCGTGGGAGGGAAGAGTAACATTATTAAATGGTCATATTACCTAAGCAATTCATAGGTTCAATATCCATCATCAAACTCCCAAAGACATTTTTCAAGGAAATAGAACAATTACAATATTTGTATAACACCACATAAGGCTCTGAATAGTCAAAGCAATCCTGAGAGAAATGAAGAAAAATGGAGGCACCACACACACCCTGACTTCAAACTATACTACACAGCAACAGAAATCAAAACAGCAAGGGATTGGAACAAACACAGAAACACAAGTCCGTGGAACAGAATAGAGAGCCCATAAATACACATGCACAAATATGGAAAGTTGATTTTTGACAAAGGAGCCACAGCCATACAATGGAGAAAAGAAAGCCTCTTAACAAATGGACAGCCACGTGTGAAAACAAAACTAAGTCCTTACTTAACTCCATACACCAAAATTAATTCAAAATGGATTAAAGACTTGGATATAAGTCCTGAAACCATAAAATACTTAAAAGAAAACAGGTGCTATATTCTCAGACATTAACTGCAGAGATGTATTTGGGGACCCAACCCCAACAGCAAAGGAAGCAAAACCAAGAATAACAAAGGACACTACATCAACTAAAAAAAACTTTTGTATGTCAAAAGAAACTACCACAAAACCAAAAAGATAACCTACAGACTAGGAGAAGATACTTGCATATCATACAACTCTCAAGGGGTTCCAAAATCTATAAATTACTCATATAACTCAACAAAAAATGAGTAGTTCCAAAAATACATGAACTACTTATATAATTCAATAAAAACAACCCCGTCAAAAAGTGGCTAGACACTTCTCCCCAAAAAAGACATCTAAGGGTAGATTAAGGCACATGAAAAAATGTCCAACCTCATTTATTAAAACAGAAAAGCATGATACCACCTCACTCCTGTGGAAATGGCCACTACTAAAAGCACTGGAAACAACAAATGATGGCAAGGAAGAGAAAATGCTGGCAAGTGGAGAAAAAGGAGCACTCATCCACTGGTGGTGGGAATGTAATTTGATGCAGCCTCTATGGAAAACAGTATGGAGATTCCTTAAGAAACTAAAAATGGAAATACTACATAATCCAGTAATACCACTTCTAAGTACCCAAATAATATGAAAACTCTAATATGAAGATTTATGTACTCCTATGCTCATAGCATCGTTAATGACAATAGCCAAATCATGGAACCAACCTATGTGACCAAAAACAGACAGCTGGATCAATAACTTATGATATATATACACAATGGAATATTACTAAGCTAATTAAAAAGATGAAATAGTACCTTTGGGGACAAAATGGGCAGATCTTGAGGTCATTATGCTAAGTGTGGAATGTCAGAAAGTTAAAGACAGATAGGAGTTGTTTTCACTTATTTGTTCAATATATGTAACCAAAGAAAATAAACTAGCAAAGCACAGTAAAAAATAATTTTTAGACGCTGAAAAATATACTGGTTACCTGGGGAAAGAAGGGAATAGAGGGGGATAAGGGAATGGGGAATGCAGGGGAGAGGACATCAGCACAGTAGTTTTGGTTGAGGGTGAGTGAAGCATGTGCACATATGAAGGTGTGATGATGTACCCCAAAAATTATGTAGTTATATAACTGAAAAATCAGTAAAATTTGAGAAAAAAAATGTTAAAAAAATAACCACTAAAAATAAATACATTTCTCTTTTTAAGTATTTGAGTAAAGAGTTAGAATGTGCTTCCTTTCTAGTAGAGTGTAGATATAGCCTGGGGTAGAGTCAAAAAGTGGTTAGTGGATGAGTAAGTAAGCACATACATCATTAAGAATATGTGCTGTCAAGAAATGGGCAGAAGAACTTAAAAGACATTTCTCCAAAGAGGAAATGCAAATGGCTAACAGGCATATGAAAAAATGTTCAACATCCCTTATAATCAGGGAGATGCAAATCAAAACCACATTGAAATACCACCTTATAGCAGTAAGAATGGCACATATTAAAAAAACTAGCAACAACAAATGTTGGCGAGGATGTGGTGAGAAAAGAACTCTCCTACATTGCTG